TCTTATTTTAAAATTAGAAAGCATACAATTTTTAAAGATGTAGCATAACTATAATCAGCAACAACTTTCTTCCTAACAGGAGTGTCTTTACATAAATTTTGGAATATCAACAGATGAAAAGACATCAAAGATGATGAAATGTCAGTTATGAGCACAGAAAATTAGCCCACTGCTAATGTATATACACAACATCTGGTGCCAAGCCCACTGGTATCAGAGATATTAATGTTTAATTATTCTGTACCCAATCCACATATAAGGGAAAGTGCATATGCAGATACTCAGGTCAAGAGAGAAACATTAGAAGCTATAATCATATTTATTTAAAAAAGTGATATCAAATACAACCATATATATTCGTGCCTATTTGGAGAGCATTTTCAAAATACCAAACAGCACTGCCATTTTCCAGTGAAAACAATGACAAAACATTTCAGCTTTCCTTTCTTAATCTTTTCAGTATTATATGCTTTATATACACAAAATAGAGACAAAAATTGTATAGGAATCCAGAGCCAAAGACATGATACTGAAAGCAGTCGCAAAACAAAAAACCTATTACTGAAAATAATTTCTAAAATACACAATTATTAGGCAAGATATGAAAAAAAAAGTCCCTTACAAAATCCTAACTCTACACTGCTTTGTACACATGGGGTTTCATGTAGCAAAAAATAAATTTTTGTCAATACTTGCATGCTTTAAAGACAATATCAAGGTTGGTTTGTGGTTGGGTTGGTTTTTTTTTGTGCAGTGGTGTTTAAACATTACATCCCTTTCTGTTCAAACCCTGTTCTAAGTTTCCCCTTCTGAATTCATAGTGACTATACTGGGGGGGGGGTGTTAAAAGAAAATTAAAATCTAAGCGTAGTAACAATTATTTGCTTTTCTTAACAAAGAACATAAAGTAAAAAACATTTTGATTTGGTAAAAGCAGTTGAAAAGTCACATGTACTTCAACATTCTGAAGAACTGTGATTCGGGAAGGAGGTGACTGGCAGGTTAAACACTAAAGCATTGCCTCCATGTCTGAAATGCAAATAAGGCAAAATGTGTGTATGCAGGTTAAAAAAGTTTATTGCAAAACAGCTCATGCTTTTAAGATACAACACAAAAAAGCTACTAATTTGAAACTAAAGAAGTATTTGCACAAGTCCAGTTCAAGGGTATAAATATGAAGCACTGTTCTTACTGAACAACCAATTATGAATATGTGGGGAATGGATAGATATGTATTACCTGTTAAGACTTTTTTTTTTTTAATGGTTTGTGACCAACTATGAAGATTTCCCAGGAGTTAAGTTTGTTTTATGCAAGACAGTAACAGCTTAAGCAAGCAAGCAACATAATTTTGTATCTAAGCCATTAAAAAAGTTTCAACTTCAATTTTTCTTTTCCTTGGATTGTTGTTTTCAATTCCTTTAAAAGTACATGCTGGTAACATGAATTGTAGAACTCAGACTTACAAAGAAGATTTATTATAGAGCTCTCCAATCCCATTCCCCATAACATGTCTCAGTAAAAAGGCCACCATCACCATTAGTATGTTTTCATCATTATGTTTGAAACTATAACCAAATTCTAGAAAATTTCAGACATTTTAGAACTGTAACATGTTCTTGTTCATTCTTAAAAGCCTAATTGTCAGCTTTGTAATAAAACAAAGCAGCTTGCAAATGACAGTATTTGTCTGAGATACAGAAATAGAATTGTCACTAGACATGTGCAGAAGCTGTTTTAAACTCCCCAACATTTTATGGATTTGTAATAGAAGCAACAGTCCAACCTTAAAACACACTGGAGATTTAATTTTGTTTTGGTTATTTTTAAGTAGTCAGCAAAGTAATTAAGTATGAAAAACAGTAAGAGTACATTAGTTGAAAATTCTACTTAAGCTTGCTGAAGTTGTTTGAAGGGCACAAGGAGCCCAAATGTTGGACAGTAAACCGGTACTACATCAGATTAGTTTCAAGCCCAGAAAAACGGGAGCATTTAAATAGCTCATATTTGTACCTGCTGTGCCTAACAAGAACTGCATTGAAGCATGACTGCATTATAACACTTTTTCCTCCTGCTTTCATTACAAGACCTTGAAAGCGTTGTACAGAATTATACTTACAGAACTAATTTTGGAAGATACTTAATTTCATTCCCCCTACCCTTTGATTTCTGTCAGCAGAAAACCACAAATTACATCACATGAACCGTTCAATGTGAGGAAGACTGTAACAAAATCTGTCGGATGAATGAAGTCTGAAATTCTCTGAAATATCATACTGTAATAAAAAAAAAATCAATTTACTCCTTTACAATGGACTTTGGCCTAAAGCTACAACGTGGGGAAAAAACCTTCAGCCTGACAGAACAGAGAACATTAGGAATAGCCTCTAAATTAGTAAACGCCTTAACAAGCATAGTTCAGCCAGGCTGAGAACTGTTTTATCACTGAAAGAATACACACCAAAAAATGAGATTGGCTTTTTACTGACAGCTTCTTTGCAGGTCCACACATTTTGAATTTTAGGTGTGGGTTATAAAATATGTACTGTCAGCAATTATTATTTTCCTTTGATGCAATTAACACACACAGCTTAAACTGCTATGTCTTAACTGCTGGACTAGGCAGATACGCCTACTTCATTAAACCTGACATTCCTCTGAAAATCAAATAGGTATTTGTAGAGTGACAGTGTTTCTACACACAAGGGAATATGGTTAGCCCTGTAATGACTGACACAGTTGTGCTTTTCAAGCACTGTTACTTCATATTCCTTACTTATTAAAACACTTCGGTGATGAAGTAACTTACAAAGTGACACGAAAGTCCAAATACAAACCTCCATGCTTTAGGGATTATAAAAACAGGTAATTGTCACAGGTTACAGTTAATGCAATTCAAGGGGCTTTTTTTTTTTTTTGATACAGGGCTGCTACGCTACATAGGTGTAGAAATAATACATTTTTATTATATTCTTATAATAGGTGATAAAAGGTCCAAGTTCCAAGCACTGGTATCAAATTGCCAGCCATATCTACTTATAAAAATGGGAGTCTTATTTCAGAATCAGTTTATGGCACAACAAAAGAAGGAAAATTAAAGCTGTGGATAATTTACAGACAAGTAAAGAAATAATGTAGTGCTTCAGAGATTCCTTTCCTGTTTTCAGTTTCATATAAATTTTAAATGGAAAGCAGAAATTTACATCCTGAAAAATATAGCATCTCAAAATGGCATATGCAGACATGGACTTTTAAAACCATTGTTTAGCTGTATTGATTTGAGACATTACAGATATTAATTGTAATATGCATAACAGGATTATTTTAAAAAGACAAAATTTAAAATCAGTTTTTAAAAAGTAGTGCTGTCTCATGTCAAAAATCCATATTGTCTTACACATACCAGTGGTTCTGGTGACATCAGTGGAAATTCATCACACAGGCAAGGAAAACAGAATTTAGACCAATTACATATAATATAATATCCTAAGCTATCAAGAAACCATTGCTGTAAACAAATCTTTACTGAGAGGTAAGAGCCCTTTCATTTACAGTACTACTTGATGCTGAATGTGTATTTCCATCTAGCTACCATTCATTTCATACTAATTTTAATAAAATGTTGCTATTGTGCAATGATGTAATTTTAGAATATTTTGATAAAGAAATTTGGGGTTATCTTCAAAAGAATCTTAGAATGCCTGTGCTGTTAATGCATTAAGTGGATTACAGCTTACATACTCTATCTACAACATGTGTCCTTGTAATTTATATGTAAACAGAATTTGTATTTTAAGCACCATTTAGGAAAATGAAACATACCTCAATTGTTGCACTGAAGTTGAAAGTCAGGTTTGGTCACCTTGTTACACATTCATCCTAGATATCAAAGCCAATGTCTTACAATCAATAGAATAAGCTCTCTCACATACTTCGCTCCCTAGTTTTTCTCAGGATCAGAAACAGCATGATAAAAAATTGTAAGGTGCGTGAATAAAGGCCATTCCTGAAAAAGCTGCAACATTCTCACAGACACTCATAAAAAGCATTTCGGAGAGAACATTCACAGAGACATAAATATTCATTCTTAAAAGCGCTACTTGCACAGGGGTCATTTCAGACTGCAGGAATACACCTTACGTGTGTGGCACTGACTTTATGGCACCTAAATCCTCTCCTTTCTCCTAGACTCAGTTACAGCTCTTTCATACTGAAAGGTCAGAATGAAGGGTCGAGCTTGAAGAGGAAAAAAGACTCCAGAAGAGGTAGAAAAGAAAACCTGTTTAACACAACTGATCATATGCTATTTGTATAGCAAAGACAGTGGCATAAATACAAAGAGCGTAAGAAAACAAATTAGAAAACAAAAGAAGGCAAGTTATCTGCCAAAAGACAACAGGGCAATGCAGAAATCCTACTTTAAACATGGATCTGAAAATTTTACAGTTGGAACTGTAAGTAAAACCAGAGGTGTTAGAAGGTCAGAAGTCACTAAATGACTCAGGAGTGACATCATAATCAACAATACACTGAAGATTTTATCTTGAATTGCAAAGTATGAAATTTATGAATTCATGTTTCTCTCCTGCAGAATGGGTCATTTCAAAAGTGGACTGCAGGATCGAAAAGTTGACATTAAGTCATTCAGAATAAACAATCTCAAAATAAATTATCTAAGATAAACAGAATTTAATTCTTAATACGAGCACAACTTACTACTTTTATTTATTTTTCCATTAGTACTGGAGGAAATCAGTTGATGCTGTTTTTTTGGCACCTTTTGAATTCTTCAAAACTATTTAAACTTGCTTTTTAAATGCCAGTTACAGCTGCTACATGTGTCTAACTTTGTTCATGTGAATAGTTTAAGTAATTTTAATACAGCTACTCTTGTGAATGATGTTCTGTAGTAGGAGTGCTACAGTTTTCTAAATTAGTGCAATCTTTTTTGTATTTGCAGATTCCCTTTAAATTTTGACAGTAAGAGGGGAAAAGTTTTGTCACTTCTCCTCTTCTGTATTCAAGTGGTTTCTAACAGATTCCAGAGACATATTCATGGCTGCTTGAAGCATGTCTTCTTCACTCAAGTCAACTCCTAAAGAAAATAAATACACGGAAGTTGCAGAAATGCACAGAGCTAGTTCTCAACTGTAGTTAAATGCTTTCTTTGTTTGTTCATCCACACCCACCTGTTTCCACTCCACCCCCAAAACTGGTTTTATTTTTGTTTTTAAAATTATTGAACATTTTTCCCCATCCACAATGGTCAGTCTGTAGCAAGTAATACTATTTTGGATCACCAATACTTAATACTGGTAAGGCCCACAGATTTATGTTCTAATGAAAACTGGTTCCAGTAATTTTGTCAGCTATTACTCCAAGTTTATTACATTGTCATAGATCTTCAAAAGCCATTTAGAAAACAAACTGTCAACATAAATCCCATCAAACGTTACAATTTGTAATGCTCAAGCTCAAGCCAAACAAAACATCAAAAGGTGAAGCCAGACCTCAAATGGTCTAACAGTAATGCTCTTCACTTTGAAAGAGGATATTGACATTCAAAGCAGAACACGCTTTTCAAGAAAGTGATCGTTTGCTTCACTGCCAAAAAGAGCAATAGCTGTGATACAGTCCGAATGGCTGCTGGAGTGAGGAAGAAGGCAGACAAGGGAAGTTAGGAAACAGAGCACAACAGGTGAAAAAGATATCACTATTTCAGTGTTGGAAATAAGTTTAAAAAACAATACCTGGGTCAGCTTCTGGAGTGCTTGAGCTTAGAGTTGGCTTATTGTGTAGGTTCAGGGTCCGATCTTGCTGCTGTAGCTGTTGCTGCTGCCTGAAAGCATTACAAATTTACAGGAGAATAAGATTAACATCAGTATGAGACCTGTATCTAGTCTATTTCATCGTAGGGAAGGCCAAGAGTGAGAAGTAGAAGCTGTTTGGTACAGTAACACCCCTGCACCTAAAACCTCTTCAATCGTTTCACCCTGCTAACCTGCAGACACCTAACTTCCCAACATGGCATTCCAAACCACATTACTATTTCCCCAGAATACAGATGTTCTGCATTCTCCTCCTCTCATGCAAAGTCTAACTCCTCTAATTCATAGCACTTCTTGTTCTCTATTTTCTCCATCACTAGGAGACAGATAAGGAAAAGCTGCAACAATACCCCAACTATGTATTGAGAAGGTATTCAAGAACAGCAACATAAAGTATCATCTAGAACACTTTCATGTGATGCACATTAGAGGCATCATTAGCAGAAGCAAAACCTTAGAGAAAGAATACTTTTCTTCAGGAAAATAATTACAGAAATTTACAGGATTTCATTAAAAATACTTCTATAACATATATGTTTTCTTTTTTCACAAGACTGATGTTGCATTACTAACAGACCCCCTCTTATTTACAGGTTTCTTTTCTTTGTAGGAACCACCTGGGAATAGCAATATTCAGGTACTGTTAAGAAAACAAGTTAAAAGTTAAGCTTGACCTCTGTTAGAAACCAATCCACGCCCCCAAACCACTGAAAAATATGACATGTACTTCCACATGCAGTTTTCTATCAACTACTTTACTTTTCAAAATATGCTTGTCTTCTCCTTCGCAGTTCTTCTGAAGAAAGGGACTCTGTCTGACTGCTGTGAGGCGACTGAGGAACATTCTGTGGTAATGAGTCCAAGAACTCACTTCGACGACTACCTAAAACCAGAACACGTCATATCCTACTAATTACAGTAAAATGAAGTTAGTAAATTAAATATATCTTAAGAAAATGTCTTCAAACTCGAGAAGAAAAGAGTCGTCTTGGAGAAATAATGACCTAGGATAACTACACTTGATACTATCTCTCCTCCTCACCTTAGGACTGTTTCCCTTCCCCCCTGCCACCCTTTGCCAATTTGTTCTTGCTTCCTAATGATCAATGCTAACATGAAAGTTGCAACTTTTCAAAACGCTGAAAGGAGATGGCAGAGGAAATTCTGGATTATCTTTCCATGCTTCAAAGCAAGTCTTTTCAGAGAGCTTGATGCACACGGGAAAAAGTGTCTGACAAACTGATTTCAGTAGTCGCCCAAAGCATAAGCAACATGAACACCGTAAGAGAAATTTAGATGAGCACTGCACCTTGCATGCTGAGTTGAATGGCTCTGCGAAGATCAGCTTCTTCATCTTCCATATCAATTTCCTGCCTACTTAAAGCCAGGGCTCTCTGAAAATTCTCTTCATCTTCATCTAACATGCCCGTTCCGTCAAAGGGATGGTTAACTTCTATTGCTTGGTCCACATCACTTCTGGGTAGTCTGTGAAATTGATAAATTTATGGCACAAATCAGATAGAAATGATACTAACTTTTACTGTGAGATTTAAAGTAAGTATTTTCTGCTAATTTGACTCTACTTTTTTTTAATTTTGGAAGAAAGACAGTTCTATTGTGAAAATCTTTGTGAAAAATTTTCATTTCTACGTGAAAAGGCACAAAAGAGCTCCAAGCTGTAAAAATTAAAATACTGCAACTCTAAACCCATGAACATGTTGACAGGAATCTGTTTGGCAGGAAAAACCTCAAAAACAATATGGCTACAAAAAGCAGTAACACATGTTATTTAAACCTATTGCTATTTAAACAGTTACACCAGCAGAAAATAGTGTATGCGGTCTCGTCCTCAGGAAGCTTTGATGACCACACTAGGGCAACAGATCTTCTGTAAGCTATACACACTCTCCATTTTACTGCCAAGCAGTTTCTATTTCGTTTTTATTCCATCATTACAACACCAGTTTACCTTTACAAAGTGGAAGAAATAATGAATTAATTCCTCTGGAAAGCCTTAAGCCTTTTTATCAGTATGCAATTTATTCACTATGAAAATGTGATAAAATTATTGTAGAAATAGTACTTTATATGTTTTCAAGAATGATTTATATTAGCAGTATGCATCACAACAGAGCACCATCACAATATTTAGAGTGAAATTATTCCAAAATGGAATGCTGTATTATTTATATGATGTGGAATTCAGATATGTTTCTCATTCTTTTCTACTTATGATGGAATCACAAGCCAGTCTTAACTATAGATTGATTACTATTAACCATAGGTTGGTAAGATTTGCTAACCCATTTTACTGTAATTGGAAAAATATTGTAATCATGAAGTTAAAAATCTGCACTATACAACACATATGCACATGGAATTAAGATAGTTTTTGCCTATTTATTTAAGATAGTATTTTAAAAATAACACCATTTGTATTCTACCAACTTGCTTTTACTGTGTGCAACAGTAGTAAACCTATTGCAGTAAAGGTACTTCTAATTATGTCTTAAGGGGGTTGCCTCCATGTAGGCACTAATCATGGAAACCAATCGTACTGAACATTATTAAAATGAAATCTCTGTTTACCTTACCTCTGATCTCTTGACTGTGCTGTCTCTTCTCCAATTAGTTTTGGTCGCTGCATCTGCTGCACCCGAATCATCTGCAATAGCTGATCAGCCTCACAGTCTGGCAGGTCACCTTTTACTACAAATATGGAATAACCTGAGAAAAATAAATCGTAAGTCTACAGCATTAAGGTGCATGCACGAACACTCTAAAATGCACACTATATGCAACACAATGATGTGCAATTTATTACAATGTAAGGCTCTACCTTTCATTATAAGGATTTGGGTTATTTCACTATTTCAATCATAAAACTAAGGGTAGTTAACTGAATACGTAAATTCTAATAAATAATGATTATTACCTACTTTTAATTAATGAGATTTAACATCTGCAAGTTACTATTACCTTCCTGTTGTAATTGAGCCAAGAAAAGTGCAAGATATGTATCTGATATTAGTTCTGGACCCATCAAGAGAGAGTTCAAGTTAAACCACTGTAATTAAGAAAAAAAAGGTTTGAGAGAACAAATTAGCATAAAGATTACTTGGTAATCCATTTCTGTACATTGTGGTCATTTTCTATGATGGAATATCCGAATAAATCTAGTAAAATAGTTTATAAAATTAAGTCTTGTGAAGCACAATACCTATACTGCTAAAGGTTACCCTGAAAATACTCTTCAGCTAACAGGAGATCTGAAGTGGGGCAATTACTGCATGCTCTCTCCCATTACTGAACACTGGTACCAGACAAACAGATTAAAACAGATAAATAAAAATATAATGGTAGAAGAATTATTTCAGACATGATTTTAAAATTTTGCTTAATCCTAGTTTTAAATCTGATCAGAAACTAATGAAGGAAGAAACCTTCATAAGTTTATGCTGTATTTTAAGAAATTAATAGATACAGGAAACAGAAGTTGAATTCTTTCCATTAAATATTTTCATTAAACATGCTGCCTTTAATAGCTGGTGATGCAGGAAACTATTCTTTACTTCTCTCTGAGATAAATATTAAATTTAAAAATCGAGAAAATTGAACTCAAATTTAATATGCTGATAGTACAGCATATTACTACAATAGGGGACACTTCAAATACACATAGAGATCATTTCTAGTTCCCCAAAGAAAACAACTAGTCATATATAATACTTCTTCTAGAGAGAAAATATATTCAACACAGACGACAAACTATACTACCCTTAAAACCCCATATATATTGCAGTCAATCTGAAGAAACTTTTTTATATCATACCCGTTCAATATTATCCAATTTTAACCAAGCAGCACAATTTAAGATAATAGGAGAACTCTATCTCCTTTCTCACAAAAAAGCATTTATCTACCCAAACTTCAATATATGCAGTCCTATGCTTGCGGTCAGGCCCACACTATAATTCACCCGGAACATAGGTAAGCGACTACCATTCTGTCATTCAGTCACTTAATTTGCCCAAAACACCCTTTGTCACTAGGAACGGGTAAGAAGACCAAGAGTGCAGGAGTGTGGAATAGAGAGTTATGTAAACAAATACAATAGATTGATTACAGAAAAACTTTTAAAAGGCAATACGGAAGAAGGTTTATTAAACTAATTTTGCTTTAACTGTAACAGAAGAAAAGCAGGTCAAATCTAAGCCTAACTATTTCGCCTGTCTTTTCTCATTGCTCTCTTGACAACAGACACCTAATATTGTCTTCACATGGCTACAAGCCGCATGTACAAGCAAAAGACATCCCCCTGCCAGCTTCAAACATTTTGGGCTAGAATGCTACCTCACAAAAATCCATGCAACGTGGTTGTGTACATAACAATGCACATCTCCATACTTTTAAGAGACTGTTCAGCCTTTTCAATATCAAATATCCAAAACTGCCTGTAAACCTCTGACATACTTTTAAGCTAAAGCAGAACACAGCAGAGTTTAGTTTACTTGCTCACAGATGATTTTTTTTTTTTAATTTGGGGTTTTTTTTTAATCTGGATGACAACATAGGTAACCACAACTTGCAAAATGAACCAAATCTAAATCTGAATCTAAAAGCTTATTCCATGAACATTCTCTATGACAAAAAAAAAGAAAAAAACCAAACAGCTTATGTTGTATAAAAGCTTATGCAGTATGATCCAGAACAACGATTGGCTACTGAAATAAAACAGTGCATTGGTGTTACAAGGGACATGGATGTGACGAGTTATTATATATGTACCACATACTTGTATGGCCATCCGTTACCTTTAATAACTATTTCCTGCTTATAATACAACTATTTCAGAGAGTTTTCTAAAACAGCACAAAGTTGTGATTCTACTTTCTCCAGCTTCATCCCAATGGATACTCTTAAATACGAGCAATCATAAATACTAATACATTTGAAATTTGAACTTCTTATACCTGCTGTCCATGTAAATGAGCAAAATTATTTTTAAAATGTCAGTAATTTAGTACATTAAAATAAGTTTGCATTCTGTAGGGATCCTAATCCTTGTCTAGGACTCCCTCCTCTCCCCCCATGAAATTTTTCTGCTATTTTGCATGCAGAGAATGAAAAGAGCTTAAGACGTCCCACAAACTCTACCAGAGCTGCAGTTCCCTAGAGGACAGGTTCATCGGGGAATTGATCCTAGGGTCCCTCCCCTGGCTAACATTCATAAAAAGCCGCCTGGCATTTTTGTGATATAACAAACATTTACTCTTTTTTTCTCTCTCTCTTTTTTTTTTAATATGGGGTACTACTAAAGCAAACTGCAGCAAAAGCTTGCAAAAGGCCAACACATCATCTGCTTGCAACCACTTTTCCATCCCCATTCTGAAGTAAATTTTTATATAAAAAAAGACAGTGTCACCTGTTTTCCTAACTTTCGAACTGTAAACCAGTGTTCCTTATAATTACAAATAAATGATTTTTCATTTCTGTAAAAAGAGAAACAAAAGGTATAGATAAAATTAAATCGGAATGTTTAAGTTCTTTTTAACCACGAATTTAAACTTATGTAATAGAAATTCAGTAATATAACTGTTGATGTTACAAAGTACTCATACTGCTTTTATAACATTTAGGAAGTTGTCAACATTACTGAAATCTCCATATACCTGTGATGCCACAGATACTGAGATATCATGAAGGCACAGACAGATGCTCACATATATCCCCCAAAAGGAAAAAATTAAAGACAGAGGGGATAATAAAAACATCAGAATGCAACAGAGCTTGAAATAGTAATTTTAAAGAAAGACTTAAATCATAGATTAAGAGTATTGTTTTTTCTGTAAAATGAAAACAGGGTGCTAAGAAAAAAAAAAAAAGTCTTACATAGGGTCGATCCCAAGCCTCTGATACTCTGGGCTGTTGAAAAGGATTAGTTCTAAACCCCAAACTTTCAAGGCATTGCTTATAACCTGTCAAAAAACAGCACCTTCCATGAGTCAAACCAGTCAAATATAAATTTAAGCAATGCAATCATCTTTGCCACTATAAACAATTATACAGTTTTCACGAAACTCAGGTTTCAAATCATTGCTAGGAAACCTAGGAACCACATTATTCAAAATGCAACTGTCACAAATCTACATGCAAACATAACATGCATACTATATGTAAGGGGAAGTAACAAATTAGGATTTAACTGAGATGTGTTAATAAGCTTACTCCTGCAGACAAAGCTGTAACTTCACCTCCCACAGACGCTTCATAAGTTATCATCTCTCTGCTCTCAATGTACTGCTCTTCCCTCCTCCCCCCCAATACAATGTCATCCTTCCCCACAGTAACTACTGGAAATTTTGCACCACTGGATTGTCACAGGATCAGTCAGGCACATTGACACAAACTCTTTTAAAATAACTCCTTAAAAGCTATCTGAAATAGTGCTGTAAGAAAATTTAAGTTAATGATTCATTTTCCTTTCAGTGAGCCAACTATGTAGCAAGTGAGCAAAGCAATGGCAGGACAAAAAAAGTAGAATATGAGGAAGCATTTTTTTTTTTCAGCTTCAATATCGAAGCAGCACAATCAAGAATAAAAGAAATGCCAAACTGTTAATGGTTTTTCACCGCATAGAAAAACAGCCCTGTCCTGCCATTAGGAAGAGATGCTCTCAAGGGCTTCTGGAACATTTACAAGCACCTCTGAAAGCTCACGACACAGCCAAAGGTGCAAAGCATTGCCTACAGCTCTAGTCTAGACACAAGCCCCAATTCGGTGTTCAATACCTTTTGTTGTTGTTGTTCTGGTTTAAGTATGTCTTATTAATTACTTTTCCATTATGGTCCTTAAAAAAAAAAAAAAGAAAATCCCAGCTCTAAAGTGTCTGGAGTGCGTTATTAAAACTGGAATGCAGACATTGCAGCTTTCTCTATTCTGCAGATCACTGTGATGACCCTGTAACCATTGCCAAGGGCTCTACAGTTTACGATTTGTGAAAACAGTCCCTAGCCAGCTTTTTCACCTGCAGTCTTTGGGAGCCAAGGTCTACACGTGAAGTGCCCATAACAAGCAACTTAGAAGTCAATTATTATTATTGCCAGCAGGTGTCATTTCACAGCTCAGGAGTCCGCGTGTTTAGTGTGCACTATGTGGTTTAGGGCCCATGAACTGAAGAACTGCAAGTCACTGCTCTTAATGGAAAACACTCTTGGAAGATTTAGAAGGTCAGCACTTAATCCCATTAAAGCTGTAAAGTGGAAACCAGATGAAAAAACTGGATGCCATTTAAATTATACGAGAAAACACATATTGCATAAATTAAAAAATTCTGTCAGTATAGAACCATGCTTACTTGAATTGAGAAGAATCCACTATCATCCATATTTACTGAAGGCTGCTGCTCAGTGTGAAGTTGAGAGGGAGAAAAGAGAAAAATGGTGTAAGCATAAAAGGTCAGAAATCATTCAGTTTTGAAAATACATATAATTGCACGCACTTAAAGTAACTAAATACGTCCTAGTCTGTAATGCTGATTACAATGGCTAAATAAGCTTATTAATTAAAAACTCAAACCTTTAAATTAGAAATGTTCAGTGCTTAAGTTAGAAATGTTCAGTTCCATGACAGGCATGGGACCTTCTGTTCCTATCTCTGCCACTGGCTTACAAAAACAAAAGACAAACTGCTTATCCTCCTCCTCACCACGCCTGACTTCCTACCTGTAAGATAATGTAGCTTGTTGTAGAATTACTGTAAAGCTGTTGTAACATTTGAAAATGCCAAATCTAAAATCTGTGAATGAAAAGGCCTATAAATTCAAGAAGTTTTAGCACTACGAAATTAACCTTCTCTAGCTATGCAAGAATAGCAGGTCTGTGTTATACAATATTTGATTTCAGGCAAGTATCAAGCAATCTCAGATTAAGAAGATTTTACCTGTAAAAACGTTCTATATTCTTCACTAGACACTCCTCCCTCTGCCATTCTCATTCTTTCTTCCTCATCCAGTTGCTGTGCAATAGAGGATAACTCAACAGGACTAAAATATTCCCCTTGTAGCAAATTATTCAGACAGTGCTGAGCGCACAATGAGCCTTCTTGCTAACATTGGAAGAGAAAAAAATACCAAAGACAACAAAAATATCATGTTAATGTTTTACTCTGTAAAATGACTCAACCATTTCATTCTGGCAAACTTCCTGCCCTCCCCACTCACCCAAAATGCCATATACTCTTCAGATGTATTACACTGCTAGCGATAGAATACGACCCTCCCATCAATTTGATGGGAAAAAAACCAACATGCATACTACTTTATTTCCTCAAAGGAAATAAATTTAATGTAAAAATGTTATTTTAGAAAACACTGTAAAAATTGCCAATGCCCTGACCAAATCACACAAGGGCTCTGCAACCATCAGGACAATGGATTCCACCCTCTCCCAAACCACCACCTCATGAAAATCACAGAATGTTCAGGGTTGGAAGGGACCTCTGTGGGTCATCTAGTCCAACCCCCCTGCCAAAGCAGGGTCTCCTACAGTGGGCTGCACAGGACCTTGTCCAGACGGGTCTTGAATATCTCCAGAGAAGGAGAATCCACAACCTCCCTGGCCAACTCTGTTCCTCAGAATGAAGAAGTTCTTCCTCATGTTCAGATGGAACTTCCTATGAAATGAAACAGTTTAGATCGCTACTCCCCAGTAACAAATGTTTTCTGCAACAGATGCTCTCAATCTTTTTTGACTGCCAGGTGTTGCTACTGCAATCTGCTCTCCACATGCAGCTAAAGAAAAGTGGATCGTTAGGATTTTGGAAAGATTTTAAAGTATGCATCCACAGAAGTTATTTCCTTCATTACAGGTTACTCACCGAGTTCAGGTTATAACCAATTTGTTTACTGCCAAGAAAGTGATTAGGAGCCAGAAGAGCAATAAAGCTCATTTTCCACATGAAATTTATGTACAGGAATTAGGTAAAAGAAGCTAATACTACCAGTTCTAAAATCTTGATGATGATGATGAGGTGACAAGAAAAAAATTAAATTCAGCATATTAAACAATGAAAACATTTTTTGTTGATAAGACATTTAAGTGGAAAACACTTCAGATACTTTGTTACATATCCAGCACATTGTAGGTAATAGAAATGTAACATTTTTAGACTTTCAACCCAAACTAAAAATGAGTAAATTAGAAATGTCAGTCATGATTTTGTAGCACAAATTAAAAAATATCTAATCTGAATGAATGCATGTTAGGCTCCATCAGTCTTGTAAGTGCAGATAAAATACTGTCTTGTTAAAAAAAAACCAAACAAATTACAGTTTCCCATGAAAAGCAACCTTTCTTTACAAACAACTAATCTACAAATGCAAGATAAGATTAACATCAGTTTCAAATTCCTGCTTTTCTCTTTTGTTTTGATCAGTCCTTATTTTTATTCACATTAAGAACTCTAATGTACATGCACCTATAAAAACAAAACCAAAGCTCCTCAACAAAAATCAAGAACAGCCCCCCCTCTTGTCAAACCCACGGAAACTAAGAATACAAGAGCACGCCTTGGAGGAATATTCTTTAAATGTCCATGCAAGCCTCATACAAATCATCTGCACAAATCTCTCATGATCTCCCTTCCAGCAGGAACCTCAAGAGTTCCCTTTACCCCAGATTACAGAATCTTCCTCTGGCATCATCACTCAATTGAGCAATGAGTTATTAAAGCTAGATTGACTGCACAGCCAGGGTCCAATGGCATCTAGAAAACTCCTCAAGCTCATCTCCTTCCCACAACAAGAAACAAGACTAAACAACAACTTCAGTCCCTTCAGGATCACATTTCTGCTGCTAGTCATGTAATAAAACTGTAACAGAAGAACTTGCTCAAGAATTACAGGTTCCTCCACCAAAACTACATAAAACTGATTTAGAAACAAAGAGATACTAAAATATCTTCAAAAATAAATTGTAATACAGGCTTAAATGTTGATTTCACTAAAAGGACCTCTCTTTATTTTTACAGTGCTATCTTAAATTAATAAACATCAATTTTCATATGCAAAATTTGTGCATATTAAGTGTAAAATGCAGAAAAGAAAACTGATCTTACAGTTTTAAACAGACATTAACTTGGATTTTTTTTGTGCAGAGAATATTGCATCCTTCCATAACCTGAAATCCCCCTGCTGAAACCTATTCCAATATAAACTGCTGCCCTGCTTTCAGTGTTTTCAACCACTTGTATCTTATCAAAGAAAGGGCCAAGTTCTAAAACAGGGGCTCCTCAAGCCCTACTTTCTGTAATTGTCATTCTCCTGCTAAAAATGCCACATTGCCTAAGTGTTTTTGTTAAATTTCCTTTACAAATACCATGTGTTTCATGCCGTTTTATTGGATCATCGGAGGTGTGCAGATTCAGTTGGGGTGTGCGCATGTACATGCAGCACTTTAAATATTTTGACAGGAACTGAGACAGTGTACTTAATGGGGGGAAAAAGAATTACCCCTCAAGAAAAAGACGGAGGTTCTGTTAAATTTTCCCTAGAATAATAGATAACAAGATAAAAAAAAAAAATGGTACATGTAACTTTATAACTGTGTAACTTACTAGGGAGCAGTTATGTTTCACATGTGAGACACTCAAGACTGTACCCCCCCTCCCCCAAAACCTGCAGCAACTACAAATTACAATCAGTTTATAACTTTGATATATGCTCTGTCACTTCAATTGCAGTAGAGTTCTGCTATTAAACTACAAAGCAACTTAGTAATAAAAAAGCTGTCACTTCATTATGTGATAGACTAGGCCAGGTAAGAGAAAGGTACCCTTGTTTAGAACTAATTTCCAAATCTAGTCTGGAACTGCTGCTGAGGCCATAACAGCTGAAATCCAACAGTCATTCTCTGAGCAACAGCTGTTTCACACCACAATGCTTGGCCAAGTTTTGCTGCCCAAACCTAGTCTGAAGGAACACTCTTCAGGTTCTATGGATTTCAGAACAATAGTTTTATTTTTTGAGAAAGTTACACAGCTATCTTGCTTTATTTGCAAACTAAACCAACCATTACGCATGAGAACAGTGTATAAAGACTAGTGTTAATCTTAACACAGCAAAGCTGCAGAGACATTGGCACAGTACACGGGAAAAACAACTATATTTGAAAAGCACTAACGCATAAATAGCTTATATTTGGGAACCCGGCTAAATTACAGCTGTTCGTAGAAGCATTTGTCCTCCACAACAGGAAACGGCGTTCAGCACACAGAAGCGCAGTACGCGACTTCGGATTTCCTTAGCAGCCCTCCCCTTCCCTGCTCCTTCCACAGCCCCAGCCGAGCCGGGCTCGGTGAAGAGACATGTCCGAGAGCACAGAACAGCCCTGCCTGCCGCGGCCCCTCTTCACGCTCACTTCCCAGGCAGGCGAGCTCTCGCTCCAGACAGAGCAACAAGCAGCACCTTCCAGGGTGAAATTAAAAGGCTGATAGGCTACAATGGCTGTCGTAGAAGCTAAAAAGCCTTGAGAGTCTTCAAATTCTGCTGGGCTGAATTTACAGCTAGTTGCTTCAGGTTACTGTGTTACAGAACCGTACAAATTCTGCTGCGGGTTAACCAAAGATAGCTGCACAATTTCAAGTAAGGAAGAACATGTTTAAAGTAACTGGTGCGCCTCATCTGCTAAATTGATATCGCTGCACTAATTAGTCAATGGACAGAAGCAATATTCTGCTACTTGATTTAATTCTGAGTTTTTTTTCTGATAAAGGTTGTTTTGTTACAAATGAAATGTTTGTCTCTTCAGTTTTTTACTTTGTTTGGCTTGCAGGGTCCTTCCCTGAAGGATGCTCATATTTTAGGTCTAGCAGCTTTTGTGATCCACTTAAGTGAATCCAGAGCTTTAATTCCTGAAGTGGAAGCCAATTTTGGGATTTCTCAGCCTGTTCCTGAAAAAATCCTTTCTGTTTCTGAGTACTGGAACCGCTTGCTAATCTGCAGGACAGAAGAGTCGTTTGCCTTCTGCCTGAGGTGACGCCCCTTCCCAGCGACCGCACCCGGGAGAAGCTGGTCCGGCTTCCGTTAAGAAAACCCCGAACAACCGCCGAGCGCCTTCCCGGCCCGCGTCAAGCGCTCCTGCGAAAGCGATCTCAAGCACTAGCTGTAACGGCGTGAATGATTTCTGCATAGCTTTTCTTTATTCCGCGATTCTTCCCTCCCCCTCGCAGAGTGTGACTCCCGGGTTTCAGAGGTTTCTCAGCCCTTATGGACTAACGGGATTCACGGACACCTGCTAGTCATGTAATTAAACCATCTTCCAAAAAGTAAGGCTGGAAATTAAACCAGCTCTGATGAATTGCAGGTGTCCTTTTCTGTAGCTTTACATATTCTTTGAAGATAAAAATCATAATCCTGTTCTTTCAACGTGTGAGATAAGATGATGAATCAAACAAAAATATTTTCCATTTCATCATCAGCCTTTATTTCCAGGTAACTTCTTCACCAGGCTTCAACTCTCTGTGTGGAAAGAAAAAAAAGAAGAAAGAGACTAAAATTAAGACAATTTTCTTTGAATATTTAATTACATTTATTAATAATTATTCTACAAAAAATTATTTTAAAAATTAATTACTTTCATTATTCTACAATACCTTCATTTTGAGAGTTATGTATAAATTTAACTTTCCTTGCAGTCATTGTCAGTTAAAAATCTTTCGGTACTGGTAAGCTTCCTCTCCAAAGCTTCAGCGGACTGGGTCCTCTTAACTTCCACTAATTTAAATGGAAGCACAAGCCCACTGACCTTGAAAGGAGTTAACAGACTTTTTACACAATGGGATCCAAAAGGAAAAATTCTACTTATTTTAAATACAAAAATTCATTACTTTGGTGGGAAGAGAACTAGGTGTGAAGGCAGAGGGGATTTCTGCAATATGCTGAAATACCAGCCCAACTTCACCAGCAACTGCAGCAAGAAACGTGCTAATGTAACAGTGGGGTGGATTATGTCATAAGCTTACCTTCTTACTCAGAACTAATTTAAGTGAGACCGGAGTGAAAAAAAAATCCACCTGCAAACTGATAATAACATTCCTACTACTAGTCCATGCTACGCAGCGTGATTTTTTTTCCCTGTTGTTTCGTTAACCTCACGGTCTAATACAGAATTAGGAGAACTGAGATCGATGAGGCAATGCATTAAGTTATCTAAATTCTCCCTGAGACATCAGCCAGTCGCCCAAACTGACTGGTGCACACAATCACATCCTTCAGCGAAGATACAGCAGCTGCCAACACAAATGTTAATTTCCAAAAACTTGGTTATTATTTTTAAATGACACAAACTTACATAACTATTCAGTTAAAAGCTGCTGTGACCATTTTACACTGA